ACTGAATTGAACTATCAAACTGAACTGAATCGATGGCATGATAATCGTAACCGAACCGTGAGACCAGTGTAGGTTCACAGCCCTAATGTACATGTAGATAAAGTTCCAGATGCAGCTTTATTAAAACAAAGGGATGGTCAGACAGCAGGATCAACAGGAGCAAATAGTACAACATGGGTAATGCAATAGTGTAATCCATAAAAACAGGCCAATGGTCAGGACAGGTGGCAAAACAAACAAGGGTCCGAAAAACATGAAAGGCAAGACAAGAAAAAACACTAGGTAATGCTCACTTACAGAAACCAAGACTCAGCAATGTGTGTGTGTGTGTGTGTGTGTGTGTGTGTGTGTGTGTGTGTGTGTGTGTGTGTGTGTGTGCGTGCGTGCGTGCGTGCGTGCGTGCGTGCGTGCGTGCGTGCGTGCGTGTGTGCGTGTGTATGAGGTGTATTCATAGTCCTGGTAATCAGTCTTTACAAGCTTCAGCTTTGTGTTTGCAATCAAGGGGAATCCGGGCCAGGTGTGTGAGTGCAGGAAGTGATGGGATTTGTAGTTCATTTCAGTGCCAGAATTGTAGTCTGGGTAATAATGCATGTTTTCCAGCAATTTGCAAGGCCTAGATCTCTGGTGATCATGACAGCTGTATTGTTACAGTGCTTTTTTAGAGACCCTCCTCCACCCCAGCTCCACCTGTGTTTAGATCTACGGGGTTATATATGTATTATATTTGCAGCAATGTGTTATATTCTCAGACTGCATGTCTGTGAATATACTGGCAGTAGCAAGTCTTGGTACTTTGCCATAATCATCAAAGTAGCAGCAGCAGCGTAGCAGATGTATTCCGTCAAGAATAAACACATCAAAATTGCCATATATTGTACACATTCATTACCGTACATGACATAAAGTAATCCATTGTTAGTACTCACAGTGCATTAATGCTAACAAGCACAACTTTGGATTTTAATAATGCATCAGTATTCAACTATGATTATTAAGTGCTAAACAAGTATTGTTCATTCTCAATTTATGTTATCAAATACATTAACGGAACCTCATTATAAAGTGTGATCAAAGCAATGCTTCCCTCTCATTTGTACAATCCTGAGTAGTATTTTCGAACACACTTTATTTAATTTACTCCATTTACTACTGGTTGTTTATTAGGCTTTTAACTCTTTTTTTTTATTAACAAGAACAAGCATGTACAGTTTTCTTATACAATACAATACAATCACTTTACATTTCTTAACAGGAATGAAATAAGTGAAAAAACAAAGGAGAAGAGAAAAAAAAAACAGAGGAGAGGGTACATAATTACATAATAATTAATTTGCATTATGTAATAATTATTATTACACAATACAAATTACATACAAATATGTTTCGCACATTTTATAATTTTAGTTATTTACAAGAGTTAGCAATTCACTTTTTTTTTTTTTTTTTTACAGGAAATGCATATATACAAACATTTTATGTAAAAATGTTAAAGGAGGAGCATATATTAATTGTTTTAATTGCTTTTCTATTTTGAGACTTGGAAATCACTTTTATATACATTTGAATCTCTTTTTCTAACACCATGAAGAGAGGTTTGCTTTTGGAAAACTTGGCTTTATGTATGTGAAATTTACATAATAATAAAATAAAATTTATAATAAAACCAGCATCTTTTAAAGAGCGATCCTTAACATAAAAACCCAAAATCACATGTTTATAAGATAAGGAAAAGGTTTTTAAGATATTATGAGCAATAAACGCTTCAACATTGATCCAAAATAGTCGAGTATATTGGCAAGACCAAAATAAATGTGAAATAGTTTCATTAAAGCTTTCGCAAAAACAGCATTCTAACTCAATATCAATTTAAAATTTTTGTAGAAATAATTTTGTGGGATAAACTCTATGAAGTAATTTAAATGATATTTCTTTAGCCTTATTTGTGATAAAAAAAAATTTGAGGTAATGACCAAACTTGAGTCCAGTTTATGTTATTAAAGATATTGTTCCAGTAAAAAATAACATACGGTATAGACATATTTTCTTTTAAGATTAAAGATCTAATTTGTGATTATTAGGCTTAAATCCAGAGAAACAGATAAACCCAACCGAGGTTTGTTCAGGTTTAGGAGGACTTTTAACTCTTTATTAGCATCTTATTTTACACCCATAATTCTACCCAATACCTAAACCCAACTACTACTTTACTAGTACTTAATAAGCAGCTAATTAGTAGCTTATTGAGCTAAAAGTCTTGGTTTGTTGATAAAGTGAATTGTAAAATAAAAATCAATATGACCATATTTTCCATTTCTTTCAGGGCTCAACCAAATCCTCCAAGAGCATGGAGTCTCGACGCAGACCGTCAAGGTAAAAGATGCTGTTCTCTTCATCGTAAAGCAGTTTGGTCAGTTTCTAATGCTTTTGTATAGTGAACATCTCAAGGGATCTTCATAACATTCCTGCATCCAGCTCCGTTTGACATTTGACTCTGCTTGGATCTGTCTCGCATTCTTTATTGCAGTTTATGAGTTGAGGAATAAACAGGCTTTAAAGCATCTACACAATCTCCAGAGAGCGGTTGTGATGTCCTAATAGGGCTTCTCTCCCACATACTGTATGTTAGATAAATAACGGCATGTTTATCTTGGGCGATCGTTTAATGTAGATACTGTAAATGAGACACTTACCACATGAGAGGAAAACACATCCACGTTAACATAATTAATGTTGAAAACGAAGAATTTATTGAACAGAATATGCTATTATTGGAGAAAATTATTGATTTTATTTTCTTCAACATATTTTTTAAATGTAATAGGTTTAGTAAGTAATTTATTTTATCCATGATGGCAGTATATACTATTTTACTTGTTATTTTAGAAGATATCAGTGTTAAAGTTGGATTAAATGGTCAATCCATTGTAAAACAGTGGTTTGTTCTGTAGCTAAAATAAAAATAAATAAATTAATTAATTAATAAAAAAAAATTAAATATAAAAAATAAAACAAAAGTAAACAAAATTAAATGAAAAACAATAAATTAAATTAAATTAAATTAAAAATAAAGAATAAATGAATAAAACACAATTAAATAACAAAAAATAAAATAAAACACAATAAAGAAATAAATAATTTAAATAAAATAAAATAATAAATAATAAATAAAAAATGAAATGAAATAAAATAAAATAAAATAAAGATAATAAAATAAATAAATAAATAAATAATAACATTAAAATAAAATAAAAAAAATAAAAAAAATAAAAAAGATAAATAAATAAATAAATAAATAAATAAATAAATAAATAAATAAATAAATAACATAAAAATAAAATAAAATAAAATAAAATAAAATAAAATTGTGAAAAATAAAAAAAATGAAAAAAATTTGTTAGTGTTCCATTTGGGATGACACTACATTCACATTCGCTTGTTAAGTGTGATGTCACACGAAGCAGCTTCCGGGTTTAGGAGCTATACAAATGGTAATAATAAATGTGACATATTACTTTCGGAAATCCTGATCGCAATATAAATATCCATGTCTAATATCCGATGGCCAGAAAGTGGTTAATTTTTATTTCAAATTTTAATTTATAATTTGAGTGATGCAGCAAGTCCATCATGATTTTATAAAAAAATACGCATTAATGTGCGACTAAAAAGTGGTCATAAACAAATATTTTCTCAGTTCAGATGAGTAGCGGCTTGGACCCGGAAGCAGTATTCCATATATCTCAACTTAACAAGCAGATACTATGCTGTTGACTGTGTAAGTGCATAAGTACATAGTAAATAAGTGCATAGTGTATAGTGTGCCATTTAGGACACAGCTTATATTGTACATAAAATCATCATATTTTGGCCACTGCTACAGAAGTCAAAGGTACTTCATCTCATTTGATTCTAAAGTATTTTCTTATCATTGGAAACTCAAAGGACGCAAACCAAAAGATATTATGATTGCGTAAAAGATCATCCTCGTGTTGTTGTATAAATACAGCTTCTGCTTTTGTTACCAGGGGGAAAAATATTGCTTATTATTTACATGGGCAGCTGTTTTATTTATCTCGTGTTTTAGGAAACTTTCCGTTTGGACTCGACCTTAAAATAAGATCCTTTGAGACCTCTTTGTTTTCTGCCATAAAAAGCATTCCTGTTTTGTAATGCCAAGACCTTTTTTTTGTACAATCTAAAAAATGTTGGGTTGTATTAACCCAATGTTGGTTCAAATATGGACAAATCCAATGTTGTTGTTGTTTTTATTATTATTTTTAAATAGATTTACTTTAAATGGCACTTTTTAGCCTAACAGTCTGCTTTGTCGTAATTTGAGAGTTGGGTTAAAGCAATGCAGTATTTCTTACAGTGTATATAAGAGTTATACATAATATCTACAGTATTATATAATTAATTACTTATACTAATTATAATATATTAATACTATATAATTATAATATTACATAGTTGTCAAACTTAAAGGTTAATTTAACCTTTTTAATAATTTTAACCTAAACAAATAGAATAAAAGCAGCTTGTATAACTTAAACTAAGCTAGACAGGGGAAGACAGGGGGACTAACAATTCAGGAGAGATAATCATTCTGACTTTAACCGTATACACTCAGCGGCCACTTTATTAGGTATACCTTATTAGCACCTTCATGGCATAGAGGCACTGGAAATATTCCTCAGAGATTTTGGCCCATATTGACATGATGGCATCACACAGTTGCTGCAGATTTGTCGGCTGCACATCCATTATGCGAATCTCCTGTTCCACTACATCCCAAAGGTGCTCTATTGGATTGAACTCTGGTGACTGTGTAGGCCATTTGAGTACAGTGAACTCATTGTCATGTTCAAGAATCCAGTCTGAGATCATTTACGCCTTATGACATGGTGTGTTATCCTGCTGGAAGTAGCCATCAGACGATGGTTACACAGTAGTCATAAAGGGATGGAGATGGTCAGCAACAATACTCAGGTTGGCTGTGGCGTTGACTCGATGCTCAATTGGTATTAATGGGCCCAAAGTGTGCCAAGAAAATATCTCCCACACCATTACACCACCACCACCAGCCTGAACCATTGATACAAGGCAGGATGGATTTATGCTTTCGTGTTGTTGAGGCTAAATTGTGACCCTACCATCCAAACATTGCATTATACTAGACAACTTTACTTCAATCTTCTATTGTCCAATTTTAGTGAGCCTGTGTGAATTATAGCCTCAGTTTCCTGTTCTTAGCTGACAGGAGTGGTGTGGTCTTTTGCTGCTGTAACCCATCTGCCTCAAGGTTCGACATGTTGTGCATTCAGAGATGCTCTTCTGCAGACCTCAGTTGTAACGAGTGGTTATTTGAGTTACTGTTGCCTTTCTAGCTCGAACCAGTCTGGCCATTCTCCTCTGACCTCTGGCATCAACAATGCATTTGCGCCCACAGAACTGCTGCTCACTGGATATTTTCTCTTTTTTAGCCCATTCTCTGTAAAACCCTAGAGATGGTTGTGCTTGAAAATCTCAGTAGATCAGCAGTTTCTGAAATACTCAGACAAGCCTGCCTGGCACCAACAACCATGCCACGTTTAAAGTGACTTAAATCACCTTTCTTCCCCATTCAGATGCTCGGTTTGAACTGCAGCAGATCATCTTGACCATGTCTACTTGCCTAAATTCATGGAGTTGCTGCCATGTGATTGGCTGATTAGAAACGAGTTAACAAGCAGTTGGACAGGTGTACCTAATAAAGTGGCCAGTTAGTATGTATATATATATGTGTGTGTGTGTGTGTGTGTGTGTGTGTGTGTGTGTGTGTATATATAATTTTTTTTTCATTCTTTAATTTGGAAAGTGAACTCGCAGCTGCTAGCTATATTTAATTTGCATGCTATATCAGTGTTATTTTAGCTGCTATTTAACTTATGCAAATCATGTAACAGTGCAAATTTTTGAACATAATCTATAAAACAGTATTTGACAAGTGGTTTCACTTCAACTTACCGCACACCTTTTCCAGTGTTTAATCATCGCTTCATGAGTAACTGTTTTCATTCTGTGTAGAACATATATTCGAACAGTTGTTTATCAGTTGCTAAAGTAAAGTATAGCGATCAGAATGACTTCATTTAAATGAAGCGCAGTTTACTGAGAGAGGTCAGTGCATATGTTTGTTTAAAAGTGAATGAAAACACAAACTGTATGGGCTGATGTTGGATCATGGAAATCCTGCACATTACTGGATTCTTCAGGCTTTATTATGCTTTACACACACTGAGCTCATCCACAAACCTCCTGAGGGCTGCTTTCTCTCTTTTTTTGTGTGTGCATGTGTGTGTGTGTGTGTGTGCGCGTGTGCGTGTGGTTGTGTGTGTGTGGTGTGTGTGTCTTTCTGTATGTGCTTTCTGTGCAGTGCAGTTTGTGTGTGTGTGCTTTTTTTGTGTGTTCACATTCTGTACAAGAGATTTTATGTGTCTGTGTGTGTGTGTGTGTGTGTGTGTGATTAAATGTGTATTTTTGTGTGTGTTAACTTCGTGTGTGCATGTATTTTTGCATTTATGGTTTTGTGTGTGTGTGTGTGTATGTATTTCTGGGTGTGTTTACTGTATGTGCAGGTGTGTGTCTTTCTGTATGTGTTTTTATGTGTGTGCATTTTGTATGTGTGTGTACATGTGTTGCTTGGGTGTGTCTGCAAAATTGTTTTTTGTGTCTATGTGTGTGTGTTTCTATTTGTTTTTTTTGTGTGCGTGTGTTTTTTGTGTGTGTTTTTGCATCTGTGGTGTGTGTTTGTGTTTGTATTTTTGTCTGTGTTTACTGTATGTGCATGTGTGTTTGTATTTTTGTTTGTGTTTTGTGTGCGAATTGTGTGTTTCTTCTGTCTGCTTGTTTTTGTGCAAGTGTTTTTGTGTCAATGTGTGTGTATTCATGTGCATGTGTGTTCGTATGTTTTGTACGTGTATGTGTTTGTATGTGTGCTTGTGCTTTTATGTGCATTTATGTCTACGTGTGTGTGTGTGTGTGTGTGTGTGTGTGTGTGTGTGTGTGTGTGTGTGTGTGTGTGTGTGTGTGTGTGTGTGTGTGTGTGTGTGTGTGTGTGTGTGTGTGTGTGTGTGTGTGTGTGTGTGTGGGGGCTTTCTCTGTACTGAGGTGTAAGTTCAGTGTTTATATATTGTGTACCATTCATAATCATGTGCTATTTACATGTAGTTCTCTAAATTGCTCTAAATGCAAATAGTTTTTCAATTAAGATCAGACAGATTTAAGATCAGAGAGATTTACTTGATTTACTGTGTCTGCCAAGCCTGGAGAGCATGCCACAATACCGACCTTCTTGTAAATGTCTTCATTACTCAAACAAGGCCAGAAGCAGGCTTCACTCATCAGCAGGTATCTCTCCAAAAGCCTAAATTCCAACCTTCTTATTTACTCCCTAAATATGAAGCATCCAAAACAAAAATCAGACTGACTGTTGTGCACTGGAGTCAAACTCCTGATTGATCTCAGCAGAGCTTATAGGATTAGAATGCTGGAAACAGCATGTTAGAAAAAAAAATGCTAAGCTAAATGTAAAAACAATGAAATGAAAATATCTGTTCATCGAGCATGTATTAAGCATATGTAATAAATGAACACATTTTTAATAAAATATATATATATATGAGTAAACCCCTAACAAATCTCTAATTTATATTTTCTGAGCATATACATTAGGTTAGTCAGTACAGAAGGTCCATAAAGTCCAAAATTACTACACACAAATTTATATAATAGGGAAAAAAATAAATGAAACTATTAAAAAAGAGGAAAATTCAAAAGAAGCATAAAAAAGGTTAAAATAAAATAACAAAATGTTGTTGAAATGTAGTTTGTATTTTTCCCCAATATTTTGCATGCATTTAAATGTATTATCTTTCTATTTCTAAAGATATTTAGTGACTAAAATACTATTTTAATAAATATATATGTCTGTTTAATAAATCTGTTTTGTTCAAATTCATCGAAATTTATTACCTATATTTACTGAAAGATTAATAAAACTATTAATTTTCAAAATGGGGTGTACTCAATTATGCTAAGCACTGTATAATAATAATAATAATAATAATAATAATAATAATAATAATAATAATAATGTTGTTGTTGTTGTTGTTGTTATTATTATTATTTGTGTTGAATGTCTAGAATAATAATAATTAGAACAGATAATAATAATAATAATAATAATAATACTAATAATAATAATAATAATAATAATATAATAGCAATACCAATTCCTCTGGGTGTTCCGGTTTCCCCCACAGTCCAAAGACGTGCACCATAGGTGAACTGAGTAAGCTAAACTGGCTGCAGTGTATGTGTGTGATTGTGTATGAATGTTTCTCAGTACTTGGTTGCAACTGGAAGGGCATAAGCTGTGTAAAACATGCTGGAATAATTGGCAGTTCATTCCGCTGTGGTGACCCTTAATTAATAAAGGGACTAAGCCGAAGGAAAATTAGCGAATGAATGTATGAATGTATAACACAAAAAGAACAATGAAGATAATATATCTGTATATGACATATAGTGTACAGATCGTATTACATTATATGAAATATAAACTGAATATAAAACATTAAATCCAGACGCAGTGAGAGAGTGAGGTCACAGATAGCAGGTCTGATTGTGGTTTTATCTTTGGCAGTCGTAAAGCTCACCAATGCGCGTGAACTGTTTTCTTTGGTCTGCCCTGCTGCACACACGGCACGCAGGATAGTTTCATATCTCGCTTCTTTATCTCCCAAATCAATCTTTCCCCACTATATTTGATCCAAGCCGTACTGAACATCAGACATGCATTTAATAGGCTGTTCAGTGCTGACATGTTGGAGGTGAGCCGTTCATCTAAAAAAGAAAAAAAAAAAATGCTGATTTTAATGATGTCATCTCTTAATGTTTTTCCTCTTCTTTAGTCTGACACACGAACAAGTAAATGAAGATCAGTTTTGGCATTACATTCAAGCATTCATTTATTAATTCCCCTTCGGCTTAGTGTTTTATTGATCAGGGGACAGCGGAATGAACTGCCAACTTATCCAGCATATGTTTTTCACAGTGGATGACCTTCCAACTGTAACCCAGTACTGGGAAATATCCATACACAATCATTCACACATACTCGCATACACTCTCAAAAAAAAAGTAACACTGTGGTACAAATAATGTTCCTTAAGGAACAGTTTTGTACCATTGTAAAAATTGTACCTTATGGTACAGAAAAGACTTCTTATGATACTGTTCTGTACCTTTTATAGTACAACTGAAATCAAGGTACACGATTGTTCTCATATAAAAGTGTTGAACAACTTCTTTATTACAATACCTATGGAAAAAATGACTGGAAAGGCAAAGGGATTTTATAAATAATTTCCATATTAAAACATGAATCATCTTTTAAAAGTATATGTTTAAAGAAACTCTTAAACATTTATTATTAGGTTCGAAAATACATTAATACAAAACAACTGGTTAAACAAAAAAATATATATAGGTATCATAAACTAAATATTTAGAGCATTTTAAATGTTTGGTAAGCATTTTTGATCCTGTTAGGGTATAAAGTGTCTTGTCACTGTGACAGTACCTTTATGGATCAGATATGGACTTTATGGACCTTTGATGAAGGTACAATATTGCATCTGTAGGTTTTAAAAACCAAAGGTTCATTTTGGTTTTCCATGGTACAAATTATGTCTTTAAAGGTACAAACTGCAATGGCACAAATTAGTTTCTTTGTCTTAAGGTACAATTCTGTCCCTCAACACAAGGGTTGTACCTTCTTTAGTACAATATTGTACCATTTTTTTTTTCTGAGAGTGTACACTACAGCCAATTTAGTTTATTTAATTCACCTATAGCACATACCTTTGGACTGTGGGGGAAACCAGAGGACCCGGAGAAAACACTCACAAACACGGGCAAGCAAACATCACACAGAAATGTCAACTGGCCTAGCTAGGACTCGAATCAATGACCTTCTTGCTGTGACACGACAGTGCTAACCGCTGATCCACCGTGTCACAAGTCTTATATTATTATTATTATTATTATTATTATTATTATTATTATTATTATTATTATTATTATTATAGTGAGTGTATGATAGTAAGTGAAATGTATGCTTAAAATAACTATAAATGGATGAAATTAATCTTTGTTGTTTCGCTAGAAAATGTTTCTTATCAAACGCAGCATTAGGGTCAGAGGTTTTTTTATGAACTCAGAGCTTGATGGCATGGCTGCTTGTCAGGTGCAGATGAATAACCTAAAGTAGGCATGTATGCAAATGTGGAGGGCATGGCCCGTGAGTCTCGTCACAGTTTGTTTTGTCTTAGCCCTTTGTTCACCGGGGTTTTACGCTCGTGGAATTTACACGTGTCGATCCCAGTTGTAAGAGCAACAAACAAAAACTTGACTTCTAGACGATCATTTGGAAAAGTGGCCGAAGATTTTTCAGATGAATCATCTGTTGAGCTGCATCCCATTCATCACAAATACTGCAGACGACCTATTGGAACCCGCATGACCCAAGATTCTGACAGAAATCAGTCAAGTTTGGTGAAGGAAAAATCTTGGTTTGGGGTTACATTCAGTATTGGGGCGTGCGAGAGTTCTGCAGACATTTGTGCTGCCCATTACATTACAAACCACAGGAGAGGGCGAATTCTTCAGCAGGATAGCTGTCCTTCTCATACTTTAGACTCTAAATTAAAGTTCCTGAAAGCAAAGAAGGTCAAGAGGCTCTAGGAATAGCCAGTCCAGTCCTCCAGACATGAACATTATTGAGCATGTCTGGGGTAAGATGAAGGATGAGGCATTGAAGATGAACTCCTTGATGAAATCCTGATAGAACACTTTTGGCATTCCAGATGATGTTACTAATAAGTGATTTGAGTAATTGCTAAGATGTATGGATGGAGTCCTCCAAGCTCATGGGAGTCAGACACAATCTTTCTTTTTCCACTGCACCATGGCTTTATATTCTATACCAATGGTTCTCAAACTATTTTCATCAAGTACCACCTCAGAAAAAAAATAGTCTCTCCAAGTACCACCAAAATGAGCAGTACTAAAATACAGTAGCGTAGTAGGCTCAGTAAAGCAGATACAACTCAGCACAGTTAAAATAACGTGGCAGATTACCTCAGAAATATAAACCATATGTCATATTATATACATAATTTTTAATAGGTTTTGAAATATATGTAGCACGTACATGTACCACTTGAAGGAAGCCCGCGTACCACTAGTGATACACGTACCACAGTTTGAGAACCACTGTTCTATACTGTACATTATTTCTGTTAAGTGACAAGACTTTTGTCTAAGCAAAGTCAGACCTTACTGTCATAATTTAATAATCCAAAATCAAGGCATGATCATATTTTATTTTGGTAAAATAAGTGTAATCTAGAGGCCTTTGCCTTTCATATAAGCTACTTCTGATACCAAATGATCAACTAGAAGTCAAGTTAATATTTGTTTTTACTAAAACTTGGATAGGCAACAAGACTTTTGTCAGGTAGTGTACATGAGAAAGAGGAAACAGTGTTGTCTGGGGCTCACAGTATGCCCATTTCCATATACTGATCTTTTAATATTCCTATAATAATTAATTAAATCTATACCTAGATTTTCATTATAGGGCACCTTTAATACAGTTATTATTGCAGTTGTTCTGTAACCATTCTCTGGTCTTCTAATTTGTGCAGGAGTTTGAGTTTGATCCAGGCCATGGAGGAGAACTATGAGGTGGATCTGGTTTACATCACCGAGCGCATCATTTCTGTCACCTTTCCCAGTAATGCAGAGGAGCCCAGTTACAGCGCCAACATTAAAGAAGTGGCAAACATGCTGCGCTCCAAACATGGAGACAACTACCTGGTGAGTATGCAAAACTCTGAATACTAACATTCATATATTAGGAACTACTGTGTTGCAGTTTTGTTATTTATGCTTTACATTTTACATATGCATATTGTTTATTATATGCTTTATTTTATAATAATTCAATAGCAATGGTGTGTTTTTGTGTATTGTTTATTATTTTGATTTTATTATACAATAATATTTAATCATTATATTAATTCATTAATTATATAATTTGTTTTAATTATATTTTATCATATAATTAAATATTATTTAATCTTTTTAATCATATAATTATTTTTGCAGCTCTTCAACCTCAGTGAAAAGCGCTTGGATATCTCCAAGCTGAATCCCAAAGTGAGTTTTATTTAACTGGATGGGTGTTTATTTATTTATTTTAATTTTTTTTATTTTTTGCTGGCCGATGTTGGTGTTTGTTCCTGTGGTCTTACTTTGGTACTGTGGTGTGTTTTTCTGTGTGAGGTTCTGGATTTTGGCTGGCCGGATCATCACGCTCCTGCTTTGGATAAGATCTGCAGCATCTGCAAAGCCATGGACACTTGGATGAACGCTGGCAGTCACAACGTGGTGGTCATACACAACAAGGTACTGTTTTGCTATCAGAATTGAAGCTTTTTTCACTAAAAAAAGGCATGTATGGAAAAAAAATACTAGTCTGTGTTGTGAGGTAGTACAAGTGCATTACTGAGTTTGACAACTGTGCATTAGATGGTCCCATACATTATAGCATATAGACACAAAATGGTTTTAATAAGTACAGGTAAGAATTAGCGTGCTGTTTAATTTTTACATTCATACTATACATGCTGGTTGATTATGGAGTGTTTTTTCACCCATATTTTCTTTTCTTTTATGGTATTTGAAACATTAAAGTAGTCACTTTACTTTTATATAAGTCAAGTTAAATGAGTCAAGACAAGATTTTATGTGAAATAAATAAAATTAAATAAAATTAAATAAAATTAAATTAAATACTGGCAACTCATTACCTAGTAGAAGTACCATTGTTTATATGGCCAAATCATAGAATATATAGTTGCTAATTATTATTCAAAATAATATCAAGGATAATAATAATTAATTCATAATCATTCATAATCATTTTTACTTTTGTGTTAGGTGTATCAGTTTAATATTCCATTATAGTTTCTTTTATAATCATTTTTATTTTGTTATAATATTTTATATATATATATATATATATATATATATATATATAT